TTTCCCTCTTTTAACCAAGACAAAAGACACTTTGGATTAGTGCCCATCCTAACAGTTTCATTTTAATTACCTCTTAAAAAACCCTAACTTCAAATATTGTTACATCTGACATACTGAGCTTCAACAAATGAATTTTAGAATACTGAGCCCATAAAACTTACTATCTTGGGAGTTAAAGGACCTTTTTGTTTCTCAGTACTCATGGGAGATAATTAGTTGTCTTTAACAAAGATTGTCTAATTTTTATTCCTTGAATATATTATTTTTCTATTACTGCATGACATATTACCACAAACTTAGTGGCTTAAAGCAACACTCATTTATTCTTTCACAGTTTCTGTAGGAAAAAAATTTAAGGTAACATAAACTTACCTTATCAGTAAGGTAAGTTAGGAAAGACATCCTCTGGGAAGGTCTCATAAGCTTGCGCACAAGGGGTCTACTGAGTCTCTAATCTCATGTTCGGCTCTGGATTTCATCCCCATTTCCTCAGGTTGTTGCAACTGTAAAAGTCTCAGAGCTCATCATCTTTTACAGAGCAAGCAGGAAAGTTTTTCTCTTGCATTGGATTGTATCTGACCTCTAGGCCTAATTGTTTAGAGTTTATTTAATTAGATTAGAGTAAGCCAGAGTCAACTGCTTTGGGACCTTGATCATATCCTTTGCCATACAAAGTAATATAATCATGGCAGTGAGGTAATCAGTCACAAGTCCTATCTACACCCCAGGATCTTGCTGTATCATGCAGGCTGGCCTTGAACTAAATAGCCCAGGCTGGCCTCGACCTCACGGTAATTCTCCAGCCTCAACCTCCCAAGTGCTGGGATTACAGGTGTATGCCACCAAGCCTAGCTCAATATGATGAATTTTAAAATGCATGTTAGGAATTTTCCTGGTGCCAAGGGCCAGAAATCCAACCCAAAACACTCTTACTTAGGCAAATAGGACAAAGATGAACAGATGCCAGATAGTTTAAAGGAACATCAACCCCGGTGCTGGCAGGAGACACTGGGGATGCAGAAGCAACAGAGCTGAGGCCCAGATAACTGTCAGGATTCATTAATGTTCTGTCTTCCCCCATTTTGTCTCATCCCTTGTTTTTTGTTTATGGTTTTCTCTCTGTTTCACCACACATACCAGTACTGAAAAGTAAATCGTATCCATTCAAGAAAAGGACTCTGATTAACTCCTTCAAATATTAAGACCAATCCACACTCCACGGGATGTTGGAATCATGAAAAAGCAAGACAACTTTTTCTGGAATCACACAGTTGAAGAAGACAAAAGCCCTTCTCTAGGGAAGGGATGTGTGCTAATCACTACAGTAGGTCTCCACAATAAGGAGTTTCAGAAGGATTGCTAACCAAGGACAAGATAATGTAGGGATTCTAGATGTTGTTTTCTGTTTTGAAATATAAACACCTTCTACAATTAATCTTTTCCTAAAAGACTTCTTATAGGTTATATTTTTTTCAATCTCTATTCATTAAATGTACTAGAGATTGTTTGGAGCAAGTTATAATGTTTTTTACAGTTGGACTTTAAGTCATGTCACTCAAAATGGTATGGAAAGGAAAATTACATCATGTAGGTATCTGCAACAAGGCATATTTTTCTGGGAGTAATGGTTAAGAGTCATCTTTGGCTCTGCAGCCTACGTGCTTGGGTTAAATTATAGCTCAGTCATGTGACTGGGGGTTACATAACCTGTGTACTTCCATTGCCTCATCTATAAATGAAGAGAATACTACTCATTGTTACTATTTTACTGATACTCTTGTTTGTAATAAAATTCAAAGTACCTACAAAAAGTTACCAGTAATGGGTTTAAAGGAATTCTTTTGAGACTTCCCTTTAAAATAAACTAACCAATTACATCCACATGTATCTGTTTTCTGACACTGGATGTTCATCTAGTGGAAGTCAACTCATACTGCACTAATAATGACAGTTATTATTACCTATGTCAGAAGAACTTAACAGGAGCTTGAATCCACAAGATTTGATATAAAATAAACAAGGCATTCTTCCAAGATCCTTTTGCTTGCAGCATGAGTCTAAACTTTTTCCATCTAAGCTTTTAGTGATGGTAGTCCTTGTCCAAATTTAGAAAAACTTCATTAGTTCTTAGTCCATCATCAAAGGTATTTATACACTGAAATTATTTTTCTTATACTGGGTATGGTTTGCATTTAATTCATCTCCTCTTCTTAACCCACAGGCAACTATCAGGTCCAAAGGAAGCTGAATCAATGTTTTACCTACTTTCCATGTAGCCAGTAGCAAGAGGCTGGGGCTCTCCATTTGCTCATTATAGAATGTTATATGTACTACTGAGTCCTAATAAAAATAATTCATATATGCCAGTGCTTTCATGCTCAGATATGCACCAAGTGCTTCTTTACACATTGTCTCATTTGTCTTATAATATCCCTGTGAGATAAGCATTACTATTATCCTTATTCATAGATGCAAAAAAGGAAGCAGGTAATTTCTGTGTTCATAGGTTGTTAGTGTAGGTACTGTCGTGTGAGTCAGAATAGTTGAATATAAGAGCTGCAACACTCAACCATTATCATGCCTGGCTGGTTAGGTCTATTGGTTCACAAGTGGAAAAGGAATTTTTTTTAAAAAAATTGTTACATTTGTTCATTAGATATACATAATATTGGCCGGGAAGATGACTCAGTAGATATACATAATATTCATCATAAGGAATTTGTATTTGTACATGACATAGCTTGCTTCTTTTCCCATTCCCTTCAATTCTCTTCTCTTGCTTATTTATAGAAACCATTTCCATGCTTTTTTTTCTATTCTCTTTTTTCTTGTCACTTCTTTCCTTTCTCCCAGAAGAGAGAGTTTTTTTTTTTTTTTTTTTTTCAGAACCAGGGATTGAACTCAGGCCCTTGCAATTGCCAGGGAAGTACTTATTCCACTGAGCCATCTCCCCGGCCCCAAGAAGAGGGATTTTAAAGGAGGGAAGAATGACCATTATCTATGCAAAATTACAAAGTTGCAGGGAGAGATCAAATGATTTAAAGAATAACATAGCTGATATAAAAGTCTCATTATAAAAGCTCTAAATGTCTGGCAAATATGAGTTTGAGAACTTGTTCCACAACTTCCCGGCTATATAACCTTGGGGAAATTACTTATGGTTTCATTATCTCATTTATAAAAAAAGAAGGTAATAATAGCACCAATTTCACAAGGTCATTGTGAGGGTTAAATGACAAAAATTGTGTAACAAAAATTGTGAAATTGCGGGGTATGGCATATTCCACAACTGTTACTATTATTATCATCATTATTTTTAATGTTTTATTTTTCTTGAGCTTCTCATTCTCAAACACATTTTTCCTTCTGTCTTTGTAGCCTCAATAACTTGCTACAGTGTTGAGCTGGGTTTGAGGTCACTAATACAAATTGTAGGCAACCAGTTCTTCACATTTTCCTGCAATTTCTCTGCCACCCACTCAAATGATTTAGTGTCAGATTATAGATTTTCATCTACATATTTTAATTCAGAACATTTCTTTTTATCTGGCTTTCAAGCATATTGTGCTAAAATTCCCAAATGATACTCTGAGTTTGCTGCAAAGTCCTTACCGTTCTTAGGGGAACAATCATTGCTTTGCATTTCATTATAGAATAGAAAATTTAAAAGAACAATATCAACTTTTAAATGAAATTATACGCCTGGAAGGGGAGCATAAATGTAAAAAGAGCACCTCATTATCCCTTTCTCAAGCTCCTAGAGTGAAACTTGAGTCATTGCATATTCCTACATCAAAAATTCTCTTGGATATACTAAAGCACATCATTATGCACACAGCAATAAAATGAGGACGTTATTAGAGGGAGCCACTAAGAATAAAAGATCGCCAAGGCAGATTCCTAAAACGGATAATATAATAAGCTCATTAAGAAGTATTCAGAAATAGCTCTAAGACATTCCAACTGAAACTGAATTCCTCAGCTTCTTAACTGGTCAGGACCAATAACTTTTCTTTTTGTTTTGTTGAGTTAAATCGCCCATACCTCTCGGTGGACTCATGGAAGAATGTTTCTACTTATACCTATCTAAACACAAGGAAACATTTGATTTTGGTAGCGGTGTTTATGGAAGTACTCATATGCAAATAAATGAAATTAAGCTTCTGTTTGAAGACCAGAAGAACTGTCAAAAGATCATGAAGAAAGTAAGTGTAAGAGTCACCTTGCTATACACCTCCAAATTGCCTTCATAATGTACAAACGTTTAATTGCAGAACATTTAAGAATTACTGAATGTCACCTAAGTAAACCTAGTCATTACAGGCTCTTTTTCAGATGACATTTAGATCCACCGATCAGTCATTCCCCTTCCATTCCCATGGGCCTCGTACAGAGTAACTCAGGCTCCCAGGGGAATGAGCCGCGCCGGCCTCGGCACCTCGGGCCCTAAAGACCCGGGTCATCTTGGATGCTTTCAGCACTAATGTTGCGATCCCCTTTCCTTTTTCTTAAAAACTGCGTAATCCTTCGTTTCTAAACGCATCTGTCGAGCTGGATGTCCTGCGAGTGTAGAGCCGAGATCCAGCCCTTGGAAAGCCTGCTAGGTCCGCCTAGAGAAAAGGGGGAGGCGAGGCCACACTGCGCCCCGAAAGCTTAGGAGCCCGAAGGGCTTTCACGGGCGGCCACCTCCCAGTGAAAACTGAGGAAACACAACAAATCACCTCAAAATAAAACTAGACAAACTCGGAAGTGGTTGTGTATTTTCTTTTTCGCCACGCAACAACAAAAAAGGGCCGACTATTTAGGACAAACAGGCCGAGGGGCACTCGGAGCTCGACCCTGGAGCTGCCGTCCGAATCCGGCCGGTCCCCTCGCGGCCCCGCCCGCCCGCCCGACCATGGAGAAGAGCCCCCCCCCCTCCGGCGTCCTAGAGCGGCCGCAGGAGTCGGCGTCGGGAGCCGCCTCTCTGCCCCCGGGTGCGCTCTCGGTGGGGTCCGCAGGGGCACGCTCCGCACACGTGCCCTTGGGCTACCGGCTGGCTGAGCAGCTGCGGGCGGAGGGCGGCTGCGAGCGCTTCCTCCAGCCTGGAGCTTCCTTCGGCCTCGGAAAGGAGCTTTACCTAGGGCGGCCGGCGACGGAGGTCCCCGGCCTGGAGCGAGCCTCCCCGGGAGCCCGGAGAAAGCCAGCCAAGAAAGACGCCGTCGGGCGGCGCCAGCCTCGGGCGGGTCGCTCACCTGCCTCAGTTTTGTAGAATGTCGCTGTCGGAGTTCGGAAACCCCTTGACGCGCTCCCCACCCCTATTAGTTGATGAGCGGGAATCTACCAGTAATCCTTGGGTAGATCATTACCCCAAGCCCGTGAACTGAGTCGCTACCCGCGGCAGGCTATAAGGGGGCTGAGACGAAGGCCCGCTCCTTGATCAGCAGAACTGGGGTCGCCGAGTTAAGGTGTATTTGAACGTGAGAAGTTGGCTGGAGTATGAAAGAGGAGACAGACTAATGACAACGCATTGCTTATTAGAACGATGCGTGTTTATAGCAGGGAGACCCTTGAGAGGGGAAGAAGAAAAAGGCTTTCCTGAGGAAATAATACTCCGACTGAGATTCAAAATATAATGTGGGTAGAGTCAACTAGTGTTCCAGGATTAAGGGATACCGAATTTGAGGTCCGAAGCTGGAAGGAGTATTTGAAAAAGCAAATAGAGGGAATCTACTTAACATTTACTTCCACTCGTCTCTCCACAACTTTGTGTATTCATTTCAACTCTCATCTGTCTTTTCAAAACACTGGACGTTCGGCAGCATTTTTTAAGAAATGTATTTGGTACAGGGTCTCACTATGCAGCTTCGATTCATAGGGATCCTCTTGTTTCAGCCTCCCGATTACTGGGATTACAGGTGTACCCCACCACACGGGTCTCAGGGGCTGGCTCAGCGCACCAAGAGGCGGGGCCGGCCTTAATAGCTATCTCAACTCGTTACCTCTGGAACATGTTTACAGCCATACAGTACTAGTAAACAGCTGCGATTATTAAGTAAAAATACTTGTAAGAATTGAAAGCCAATCTAACCTATAAATTGTTGGTGTTAATTCCTTCTCTTCTACTCAAGAGCCTTTAGTCTCCCGTTTCTCCTTTTTAGATGCTTACTGGGTATTTGAGAACCGTCTGACATCTGACGGTAACTGGGTGGTGGCTGACTCAACTTCATTTACTTTCCTGCCTCAAGAGAGATTTTGTACACACCTTATTCCTGAATTTCTTTTAGTTATTCTCAGCATGGCAATTTACTTCAGGCATCTTCTGCATACATACGCATAACTTTTTGCTGTTTATGATTAGAAAGATGTTTTATCAACCTGTTTTATTGCTCAACCAAAAAAGATCTAATGATGACAAGCATACTGTTACAGAACACTAGTAATATACAAAAAGAAGGGATAGGGTTCATTTGCTTTGTACCCATAATATCCTGGTAAAACACCTGTGAATGTGGTTAACACGTTGTATTATAGGTTGTTTTTAGCCAGAATTGCCTTTACATTTCTAAATTTTCAAATCATTTTTGTCTTTTTGAGACAGTTTGTGTGCAGCTGAGGCTGGCCCAGACTTGCCTTGAACTGGCAACCATCCTAGTGCCTCAGCCTCTCCAATGCTGGGATTACTGGTGAGCAATAACATGCACAATTCCCCTTTACTCTTGATAATTCCTCTTAGTAGTTTTCCATCTGTTGCTCCCTATAATGTATCTTGCCATAAATTCCTATTTGCTCATGCTGCCTTTAGAGTTGAACCTGCCCCAATCTCTTCTGCCCTACTATAAGCTGTAGTAGTCATACTTAGAACAATGGTCTTAAATAAAGCCTTTTTTACAGTGCTTTAATAAGTGTCATTGAATAACTCTTCTTTAATTAGCTTTCCTATGCATTATAGTACATTTAACAGCACCCTTGGCCTTTACCACTAGATACCATTACTACCCTTCCCACACCTTTTTGGGCCAATCAAAACTATCTCTAGACATTGCCAAGTGTTCCCTGAGAAAATTGTCCTGGTGAAGGATAACTGACTTATTTTAATAGTATGTAATATTATATTACTATTTTTCTTTACTTGCTGTCTATGCTTTTTCTATTTTGTTTTAGAAATAGCAAATATAAGGACCGGTCAAATAGCACAGTGGATTAAAGCACCTGCAAGCAGGTGCAGGGGCTGGGGTTTGATCCCATCCCCAGGGCATGGTGAGACTGCAGTTGAGACTGGGTATGGTGTCGTTCTGTAATCCCAGCTCTTGGGAGACTGTAAACAGGTGGATCACTATGAGTCTGATCTAATAGTGAGACCCTGAACACCCTGTAGACCCTTCCCTAAAATAAAAAAAGCAAACATAAAAAAAGAGCAAATATCAAATGAATATTAAAAGTTTTAAAGAATTATGTTTTAAACCCTGAAATAATACTATCAGATTCAGTGGATCTTTTATTACCTTAGAATATGTTCTTTTCATGATTGATGGATTTGTTGTTTAAAATTTAAACACCTCAGGGTAAGGATATAATTCAGTTATAGAGTGCCTTCTTGCCCACTCATGCTAAAAGCCTTGAGTTCAATCCTAAGTACTACAGAAAGAAAGAAAAGAAGGAAAATAAGAAAATGAGCTGGATGTGGTGGCACACATCTGTAATCCCAGCACTCAGAGGCTGAGGTAGGTGGTTTGTTATGAGTTCTAGAGCAGCCTGGGCTACAAAGTGAGTTCAAGGCCAGGACTACAGCATAGCGAAAGCCTGTTTAAAAAAAAAAAAAAAAAAAAAAGGAAAGAAAAAGAGAAGTAAAAAAGTTTGAGTGAATGAAGTATAGATTATTTCAAAGCAAAGGTATAATAACATTGAGAAAAAAAAGACTGCTACCCTTTAGGAGGGGTGAATTTTCTGAGTGAGGTTGATAGTTTCCCTGCACAGATATGTTCAATGGATTTTGTTGATCATTGTAGCCTCTTCTGTACTTCACTTTTCAAAAGGTCTTTTAAAATAAAGACATTCTTATATTAATAATTCCTGAATATCTTTCAAAGCTTAGTTTAAAAACTCGGGAAATTTTCAGAAGCTGTTGTTTTTTACTTTTTAAGTTTTTATTGTTAAATGAAATACATTAGAAAATCCCATAAAAGCATAAAAGTGCAGTTTTCTGAACTACTCCATTAGGACCCTGTGTAACCACCCATCCAGGACAAGAAGCAGAATGTTGATAAAGCTCAAGAGGCCCTACCCACATGCCTGCCCCCAGCCACAGTCTCCTCTCTCCTAAGTGCTGCTTCTTGCATTTATGGGAAGATGCAGTAACTTCCTTTTTATTATTTTACCACCAAAACCTACTTTTAGTGAAGTCTCTGCTTTTTTTTAAAGTTGATAAATATGGAATTATACAATGGGTAGTCTTTTTCTCCCTAGTGCTGCATTATGTTTAGGAGATTCATTTGTCATCGTACATAGTACTGTTCACTTATTTGTATTGTTGTATTGTTTTATGTTGTACAAATATATACAAGTCTATTACTCTAGATGAACATTTGATAATTTGGAGCTTTGGCCAATGAATATTCTTATAAATACCTCCTGGTACATGTGTACGTTTCTAATGCATAATCTAGAAATTGAATTATTGCATTAAAGAAAACACACTTTTTAACTTTAAGACAAAGAGGCCAAACTGTTTTTCCATCCCCTCCAGCAGTTTATGAGAGTTCCTGAATCTCCATATCTTTGCCAAAAGTTGGTATTTTTGGTCTTTATAATATATAACTATTCTGATAGGTTTTTTGAATGCATTTAATTTGTATTTTGCTGATTAATACTAAGGTAGACCATTTTCATATGTTTATGAAAACAGTCTCTTTGGTAAAGAATTTAGTCAAGCTTCTTGCCTATTTTTTAATTTAGTTTGTCTTTGGTTTTTTATTAACATTTTGTAGTATTTTTCTCATTGTGTGTTTATTTCACTTCATGACTTGCTTCTTTTTAACCATTCTTCAACCATTCTAGGTGCTTTGAATTAAGAGTACAATATCTCTTATGTGTAATAGATAGCTTTTGTTTGATAATTCTTCTGAAAATCATTTTGTTCTCATAGGTAAAGTCACTGATATAATAGTTGTTCCTTCTGTGTTTTCTATGTCCCTTCTTCTGTTTCTTTATGTCCCTTCTCTGTGTCTTAACATGGGAGAAAATATCACAGGGCCAAAGAATGCATAAGGGAAAGAGGAAGAAAAGGCCCACTGCTTTGATAACAAACTTGCTGTGCATATCAAAATGAATCCATTCATGAGAAGCCCTCAGGGCCTGACCACCTTCCACTAGGCTCCATTCCCAGCCTAGTGCCTTGGAGATTAAGTCCTGATACAGGATCTTTGCGTGACACCTGGAAACCATTGCTCTCTCTTTCCATTTTCCATACTCTACCCTTTAAAACCTGAACTTAATTCATTGAATTACTTTTCTATTTGCTTCATCTTGAAATGTGGTTGTACATTTATTACTTAATTTATCAGCTTTAAAGTCTTACATTATAAGTTTGGCTATAAAACAGAAAATAAACATCTTACATACCTGCCACCTTTTTGTTCCCCTTTCTTGTTTTACTTCCTTAACCATCTTCTCATCTCTCCTTTTGTTATTTCTATGATTTGTAAATTTTATATTCTGTTATGTAAATATAATTTTCATGGTTGTTTCAACCTTAATCGTGTTTTGTTTTGTTTCTTTTTTTAAAGACATGATCTCGCTATGTATGTGCTTCAGGCTGACCTGGACTCACTGTGTAGCCCAGGTTAGCCTTGAACTTAATCCTGCTTCACCCTCCTGAGTGGTGAGATTAAAGGCATGTGCCACCATACCCAGCAACTTTAATCTTACATTAAATGAATTCCCTGTTTCTCCTAGTACTGTTAGAAATAATATTGGCTTTGTAGGATTGTTAAGAGGAACCAATGGAAAACTGAACCAATGTTCATTCACCTTTGTGGAAGTCTTCACATATTGCCCATCTTAAAGTGGCATTTGGGAATATGGAGATTAACAACATTTCCTTTGAACATTACTAAGGTCATGGAAGAGACAATTCCAGTATCATGTGAAAAAGAAGTATACTGTACCAAGAATAAAGACAGTGTGCTACAGATCAGAGGGAAAGTATTCCTAGCCCAGGCATAGAGATTAGGCAACTAAAGGGTTTCTGAAAGTAATGACAACAGAATTATGTTTAGACAATGAGTAAGATACAGGTTACTGGTGAAGAAGTGAAAAGAATTTCTGATCTAGACAACAGTAATGGCAGAGGCATGAGATAATCTATTTTCAGGGATTTGTAGTAATCCTGAATGTCTAGATGTAAGCATGGAATGTGAGTGAGGAAACGTAGAAGTGATGGGACTGGAGAAATAGAGAAGAGATGGATCATGAGGACCACTTGGGCTGACATGAGCCTTCTGTTTGCAAATAACTTAAATTCCTCTGTTAATTATACCAAGAATGAAAACGGGAAGGTCACAGACTGGTTAAGGAGTTTCTTCTGCCAGGGTCAGTTTCGATTAAACTCCAAAGGATGAAGATTCCTGGCTCATTTCCAGAAGAGAAGCCTCCTCTGGCCAGGCAGGAGTTGTCTGGGAATGAGATCCCTGTGGGTCTGTCCTGGACAGGTTGCAAGCACTTTGCTATACTTGAATTTCTAACCTCCTGTGAATTTTTGTCAGTGTTACAGTCTGGATTCAGTTCTTCTGCAGAGAAGTCAGAAAAGGTTGTGTCCATGGTTTCTCAGAGATGCAAAGGAGAGAGCGTGCTAAGTGCTCCTTACGCTGAGGGTGCTGGTAAGAGTAGTCATTTGCAGAAGCCCACATCTGCCTGATCAGTGAGTGTGAGCTCAGACAGCCCCAGAGCTCAGTGGGATGAGAATCCTGGGCACCTGCTCCAGACACCACATGGGAGAACCTGACATCTCTCATAAGTTGGTCAAGATTGATTTCTAGAAGTCCATCAGGATTGGAGCTATTATAATTTCTGCACTAAGAAAAGGATGTTTGCTTATTTTATAACTATGGGATAGTGTGATTTTTAGACAGTGAGGATATACAGTAATCCTGCAAAATGAGGACAAGGGGCAAACTAACTCAGGGAATGATGGATGAAATGTTGGGAACACAGAAACAGCAGGGAGTGGCAGTATATTGAAGTGCAGGATAATTACAGACATTTAAAAGTAATTGTAAGGATGAAAACTGAAGCTGTGGATATCAGCATCAGCAGGGAGAGAGTGTTAAGAAAATGCTTTATTTATTTATTTATTTATTTATTTATTTATTTATTTTTTTTGTGGCGGAACCAGGGATTGAATTCAGGCCCTTGTGCTTGCCAGGGAAGCGCTTATTCCACTAAGCATCTCCCTGGCCTTGAAAATGCTTTAAAATAGTAAGCCATTGTCATGGTTTGGGGTTTCTGCAAGGTGAACAATATAGTACAGGACACATTTTTAAAGATTATTTTAAAATCACCGAAGGAATCATGTACAGAGAGTGCTGGAAATCTGTCCACACACTAAAGGCTAAAGATCCTGCTGAGTGTCTGGATCCTAATGTTCTGCATGGGTCTGGCTGAAAACCTAGAACTCATAACAATGCCTCCCACAGGTCCAGCTGAGGGTGTAGAGCCAGCAGATGGGCTCATGAGGACTGCTTCATGGATGTGCACTGGAAGGGCCCAATGGTCAGTGGTGGAAGATAGAAATTCTATATCATTGGGATGAAGGATCTGTGCTAGCAGGCTGAGGGATCTGCATTGGAGCCAGGAAGCAATGTTCAAGGTAAGAACCAGGACTCCCCCAAAGGTACCACAGCATCCTCGGCAACAGTGAGGTCCTGAGCTCCAGCAATGAGGAAAGCTGAGTTCTCATCAGGAAAGCCAGTGTGACAAGCTTCTCCACAAGGCTGAGCTGTGCACCATCTTCTCCTCCAGGGCCAGGAAGTGATGCTCAGGATGAGACCAGAGCTCCCCCAAAGTGAACTGTAGCCAGTCCCAGTGACAACAAGGTTCTGAGCTCCTCCAGCAATGAGAACAACCTAGTTCATCAGGAAAGCCAGCGTGACAAGGTCCTCTAGCAGAATAGTCCAAGAGAACCAGCAGCTTCCAACAATTCTCTGAACAGTTTCCCTCACAGCCTCCCCACAGCTTCTCCAGTTCTGCCTCATATGCTGTTGGCAACAATCCTTGGGTGGGTTTCCCACGTCCAGCACCATTGTAGTTCAGCTGGGTGTAACAAGTTGACCACCAATTAGAAATCCACGGGGCTGGAGAGATGGCTCAGTGGTCTAAAGCACCTACTTGGAACAAGCTTGACAAAGCATAGGGACCGCGGTTCAAACCCCAGCACCACATGCCAGCCAGTCCCGCCCCCTGGTGGGCTGAGCTGGCCACACACATAATAAATAAATGTTAAAATAAATAAATAAATAAATAAAAATTAGAAATCCACTACAGCCATTATCTAAATGTTAACAAGCTCACAAATGAAGTAGTCCCATCACATACCTGTGTATAGACTCTGAACACATCTATAACATGAATGTGTATTTCTTAGCTTTTTTAATCCTAAAATTTTGAGTTAAAGCCTTTAGGCCATTAAAACTGTTGATAAATATTTTTAGTTCCTGCTGAAGAGGTTTTCTTTCAGAGAAGAAGAAAAAACATCTGGTGCTACTGGTATTTTGGATTGGGAATGATGCTTTTTTTGAGAGACTGTCGTGTGCATTGTGAGCTACTTAGAAGCAGCCCTAGATTCTCTGTCCATTAAATGCTGCTGCAGATAGCAACCCCCACCCCATCCCCCCAGATGAGACATATTATGCCTCCAGACATTGCTAGATGTCCCCTAGAGGGCAACAGCAGCTCTGCTTGGGAAGCACCGGAAGACTGCGCATACCCATTAAATTTAGTTCTAAATAGGAAAAATAAAATAATTTGAAGTAATGGAGTCTTTAATGGGATCATCCATTCATCATCGTTGTAATTGTTTCTAATTGCATCTTTTTAAATACTCAGGCATTCGTATGTTGAGAGCTGCATTTTCTATGGAGCATATCAAAGACAGTATCAGAGTAATTTGCACCAAACTGGTATGAAAATTTATCATTATTCAGATGCAGCCTGAATGGAAGTAATCTTTTTTCCCCAACAAATTTCAAGTTTAAAGTTTTTTTTCCCCCCAAAATTAATATATTTTCTTTGCTGTGCTGGAAATTGAACCCCATGCTTTTTTCTACCACTGAACCACACTGTAGAACCCCCCTTTAAATTCTAAGATAATTTAAAAAGCATCCTTAAGCACTTTTGAATTACCATTTAAATTTGGTAAGTGGTATACTATGCAGAAACCATTTTTTAACATTCATTATAGTTGAACCTCAAAAGCACAAATTAGATATTATGCTTTTAGTTTGATTAAGTAATTCTAAATAAGTTTGAATAAGACATTTTGTCAACATATTTATTTTTATTTATTTATTTTTGTATTAGTGCAGGGTCTAAAGGGTGTTCATGGTCTCACTATGTAGAGTAGATCATAGATTGAATTCATAGTGATACTCTTGTTTTCAACCTCCCAAGTGCTGGGATTACAGGCATGCACCACCACGTCCAGTCTCAATCCCCATCTCAGTGTGCCCGGGGGCGGTGCCAGCATGGCATGCTGGGGATTGAACCCTGGCCACTGCATTCTGCCTAAGCAGGTGCTTTAGTCCACTGAGCAATCAGGTCCACCCTATATTTTCATTTTTAAAAATTATTTACTTATTTATTTGATAAAGGGTCTCACTGAGCAGCTTGGACTTGTAATGATCTTCCCCTCTTAGCCTCCCCAGTGTTGGGATTACAGGTGTGCACCAGCATGGTTTCAGTGGCCAGCACAGTGTGCCTGGGGTGCTGGGTCTGGCATAGCATGTAGTACCAGGGATTGAACCTGGGTCCTTGTGTTTGCTAAGCAGGCACTTATATTGCTGAGCTATCTCCCCAGCCCAACACATAGTTTAGACATTTTATAAGTTTATCTTGGGCTTCTTCCAATTACCTTGACAGAGAAACTTGAAACAAATTGTTGTTAGGAAAAATAGACTTCCACTATGAGAACCTGGTTTACATTTTTTTAATTTAATAATATTTCCAGTTTCCTAATGTTATACAGAAAAGGAACATCACTAGTCTAGAGGTGAATGACATTGTTATACTTTCTTTATAGTTAAATAACACATTTACAATTTAAATAATTTTTTTTTTTTGAGATAGGATCTCACTATGTAGTCCAAGCTGGCCTCAGACTTAGTGATCCTCCTGCCTCAGCCATCTAAGTGCTGGGATTACAGGCATGGGATTACATTCTCATTTTAAAAGAGCTATTGTCAGTACATGATAATAAGATATCATGCCTATATTTTCTATTCTGAAAAAGTACTACAAAGACAACAATAGGCAATATATAAATTACTATAACGGTCCTACTAGCCTGTTTGAAACTCAGTTTCATTGTTATATTTTTCTTTTTTTCCTCTTTAAAATTAAAAAAAAGGAACTATTGTCAGGTCCTTCATTTTGACCATATTATGGTTTGTGTGCATTTGTCCTCCCAAAGCCTCATGCAGTCATTGAGACATAGTTCTATATTTGTGATTAATTTGTGATCCAAGGCTGGGATTATAGGTCTGACTACTGCTGGGATTATGGGTCTGAGTACTGCTGGCATTATGGTTGTGAGTGCTATACCCAGCCTTGGGCAAATAGCCTGAATATAACATAAGCGAAAAAGAAAGACAGACTTGCTCTTTGTTGCCCTTGTTGCTGTTACTCCTCCCTTTTGCTCTTGCTGTTTTGCTGCCTTCTGCTGCCATGAACTGCTGCCCTCTGCCATGAGTATTGGCTGAAACCTCCAGTAACTGTGAGCTAAATAAAATTCTCCTTCCTTCATTTTGAGTGTTGGGTATTTGTCCCAGCAACAAGAGAAGAGTAACTTAGACAGACCATGAACTGAATTTTGCAGTAAGTGACTTACTTCAGTGTCCATAGTTTTGGCATTGTTTCTTACTAAGAAGAGACAAAAGCTTCCTCAGATAATACATCAAAGAAATGTACACAAAGACTGCAGAAGAGTGGCACAGAAGGCCATGTTATAATTTAATGGAAACAGCACCAGTTTGGGAGTCAGAAGGACTCAGTTCAAGTATCTCTACAGCTTATAGCTGGCTCCTGCCTCAAACTTCCAAGTGCTAGGATTACAGGTACCACCATACCCAGTCTCATGAGATAGATTTTATTGCCCCTATTTCACAGATGAGGTTTGAAAGATGCTTTCTCAAGGACACAGAGCTATGTAGTAAGTAGTAGAATTAGAATAATTTAAACCAGGTCTGTCTTATCCCAAAGCCCATTCTGTTCATATCTTTGCTGTTCTGTACACATTATTTCTTTAAATTAATCTTCAAGGACAAATGTCCTTTTAAAATATAGTTTTAAGTGATGAGGGTATAATTTCAGAGGAATTATCTGGGTAAGTCTCAAGAGACGAAGGAGCAAACTGGTAAGGAGATAATGATAGTAGTAGTATACTAGTTATTTGTCAAATCTAATAATAAAAGGTTTGGAATGAATAGTATAAATAGGTTAAAAAAAGTGCCATTTCCCTCCTGTGAATTCTGTGCTACACAAAGCCCACTTTGTTCGTCTTGAGAAATGCTTGATTGACCCTCTGAGGAGTTTCACTACACCATTACAATAATGATGTCCCTGTTTTACAGGGTTTTCTTAACCTCACAGGAGAAAAGACACTAGACAATGAGCTTCTTGGGGGCAAATCACCTCATTCATCTCTGTATTCCACCCACAGAGCCTGGTGTGCTGTGAACTGAACATAGGGCTTTGCGGTCTACTATCTCAGTCTTTCTTTGGGGCTTGTTTATTCTCATTAACATTAATACAATGAATGTCTTCCAAGTCCCTGCAACAGAGAAAAAGATATTTATGTCTGCCATCCTTCTGGCTTTCCTTTCTAATGGCTCTCCTACCTAATATTTAAGCACAGACAGGTGCCATTTAACAAAACACTTATAAGAAGGTTGGGAGAATAATCAGCTTTAACCTTGGATTGCAAGTCTCAAAAGAGAGAAATCATTGCTATCACAGGAAACAGAAATTCTCTGAGGATAGCAGTCAAAAATTAAAATGAAAACTAATGCTCAGGTCCATGTGAGCAGGAAATAAAATCGGTAATTAAGAGTCACTTTTCTCAGCATCCTAGATAAGTAAAGACCAAAAAAACCTCCATCAGCTTATTTCTGAGTTATAGCAGGTTTTACAAGTTAGGTATGGAATATCTTAAAAATGAAAACACAGTTAACCTAACTAAATCTTGCAGTTTTCTTGTGTTTATTTACTTTCTTCAATTTTATGCTTCATAGAAAATCTTTCTTAAAAATGAATTATCTGTTAATAGTCATGATGATAGTTCAATAACAATTATTAAATTATGGAATAGTGTTATTAAAATAATTGATAAAAGTAAATATAAAATATAAATGTGAAGCCTGAAAAGCTATTAGCAAAAGAACTCATACATGTAACAATAAGGTAGGGGATGAGCAGACTGCAAAATACATTTATGAGGACTGAGAATAGTAACAGTGATACTATTTACAGATTACAGTTCCTGTTTAAGAACTGAAATAAAAAGGAGGCCAGGGAAGATTCAAAATGTGGACTGGCCCTCACGGATTTCTTGTTTAATTTTTGGAAATTGAGAAACATTTAAAAAGA